GCGCTATTTATAATGACTATTGGCTTAAAAAGTTAATGGTTGGAGTAAAGTGTATGAGACTTAAGACTATAATGCCTCATGTTTCAAGTTGCATACAAATACATAGCAAAATATCGAAAAATACAGCAATCAAGTTTGATACAATTCAATATAGATACTCCGAACATAAATAGTTAGGACATGTTTTTCCTCCCCAAAACATTTAAAAACCGAAAATAAGGGGATGCATGAATACTCACAAAGTTTCAAATTGGTACAAGTAGTGCCTTGGAATACACCAACACCTTACTAAATGGATCCTATGACATCAAACACGCGCTTGTGAGTTTCTATGTAGAAATGTAATGTTAATATACCAAATTGTACATATAGAGAAATGCCAAATTTTGTTGTAAGTATTGGTTTTCAATTATTTGGTAACAAGTTTTTTGATATGGTGAAATTCATAACTCATGTGGTTAAGCCAATTTTAGGTGTTGTTTTCTAGACTTTTGTGATACTAATTGAGGATATTTCAACACATTTAAATGTGTGTTAAACTCTTCAAATAAAAAAAAATATTACCAAACAGTTTCCACAAAATTTCAAACTTTACAATTTCATTCCAATTACAGTTAAGGGCTTCCATAAAATTTTCCTTGAATTTTTTATACGTTTAGCTATTTTTCTTATATTTAATTCTCTAAATCATTACAAATTCATGAAAAATATCAATCCGTTAAGAAAATTTCCCAAACTTTTTGCACCACTTTTATGAAACAAATATAAGTTGGAAAAAATATAAAAGCTGATTTTCAAACAATTAACCTGATTGTTCTGGTTTTAGTGCACTTATACTAACAAAATGGAGATAAATAGAAAACAGTTTCAAAAATTCCCCAAACGTTTTGTACGAGTGTTATTAAACATATAAAATATGGTAAAAATATAAAAGGTGGTTTCCAAAAGGTTTAGATATTTTTCTTTGTTTTATTCACTTAAATAAGCATTAATTTGTGAATAATTGTTAAATAGTTCAGGAAATTACCAAACTTTTTCTTATATTCATATATAGTGTACAAAGTCTTGGAAAAATAACAAAGGTGATTTTCAAAAAAAGGAGTTGATGTTTAGATTTATGTTTATTTAATATTAGGAAAATAGAAAAATATAGCATACAGAACAGATAAATCATCCCACTTTTTATGTGGCAGCCTAATGTAATATAAGAAGTCATGGAAAATTTTCATGAATTATGGGTGAGTAAAACTAGTTTTCTCGATTTTAGTCCACTATATGCACACAAATTGTGGAAATATATATATATATATATACATTATGAAAAATTTCAAAATTATTTTTTCAACTACTCCACATGGTGTAGGAGCTGGAAAAAATCATAGCTAATCATTTTGTATTCCCTAACACGGGTTTATGATTTATTGGAGCTAAATAAAAAGAAAATTAAAAGTCATACCAAACAGTAACAAAAATCGATGAAACTTAATGAGAGTCCTTTATTTACTTTAGGGGCATCCACAAATTTATCTAGGATTTATGGACCTCATAAAGTATTTTATATGATTCATGGCCTTGTTTCCTTGTAACAATTACAATAAATTGAAGAAATGAAAACAATTCTTAGGATTTTCCAGATCATCTTATACTTTTACTGGGATTCTAAAATAAAATTTCTTTGAATAGAAAAGGAGTTTAGATTTTTGTTTTTGAATAAAATCTTGTACATGCACTATTAACAATGTACTTTGATCATCAAGCCTTTAAGTTTAATGTTCATCACATACATCACGGTTTAAAGAACATGCATGGACATATTTTGTTCATTATGATGTTTTCAAAGGAAAAACTTGGATGCATGTGGTGGATGAACATTTAAAACTAGTAAAAATCTTTATTTTAGGGTTTGACATAGATTTTGGTCATTGGATTTCACCATCAAACAACATGCGTGTTGTTCATGGGTAGAATCCTACCACCATCATCATTAAAATCGACTTTCATGGTTATGCACATGAATGTTCATAAGGAATTGTGTAGGAGAAGAAGAAAGTGTAAGAAAACTTGTAAAACTTGAAACAAAAGTCTAGGAGAACGAAGGATTTTCGTGATTACCTCTAAGAACGACACTTAAGGAAGAAGATTTTATGCTTGAGAAGTGTTCATAGCTGAAGAATTTCAAGAGTTTAGAGAGAGATTTGAGAGAAAAGGTGTGGTAGAGGTGTTGGAGTGTGAGAGAAAGCAAAATAGGAAGATAGAATGTAGGAGAACACAGAATCAGAAACTGATTGAGATTTTCAGGGAGGAGACTTTCTTGGGAGGTGGAGGCCAAAAATATGAAGGAGTAGAGAGGGTTTCCATCTCTTCCATTTTTATAAAATTCAAATTCTTTATAAAAATATAAATTTTTTATAAAATGTGCACGTTAATCTAGTTTTGACAAAACTGCAAAATGGACCTTGTGGTTTGCTGAAAATTGCCGCTTTGCTTCAAAAATGTTTAGACTAACACCACAGGTCCAAACTTTTCATTTTGTTGCGAGTTTGGTGTTATTTGCTACGAACTTTTTCAAAATGATGATTTTGCCCTTATTTTTTTTCTTTTCAAGTTATATATATATATATATATATATATATATATATATATATATATATGTATGTATATAGAAAATATAAAAAAGAAAATTTGCATTTTCTATTTTATTTTTACAAGTTTTTATAAAAAAATAAAAAAATAAAAATGAAACATCTCTCTCTCTCTCTCTTTGTCCTTCTTTCTCTCTCTCTCTCTCTCTCTCTCTCTCTCTCTCTCTCTCTCTCTCTCTCTCTCTCTCTCTCTCTCTCTCTCTCTCTCGCAAACGCATAAACATAGTTCCACCTTTAAGAACATGAAGAAAGTTCAGTACTCCCAACCCTTTTCTAGTGAAGTAGATCTTTCGGTCACCACCATAAACACTGCTAAACCACCAACAATCACTAATTTTGCAAAGAAAAATCGAGCCTTCAGACAATCATCATCATATTCATCTTTAATCCACCATGAAAAATCACCACCATTGAGCACCCATTATCCCCATCTACCTTGTTCTTCCATTCATCTTTTGCCCAATTGCATCTCAACAAAATATTAAGAAATAAGGTTGAAGAACGAGGAACTGTGATTGAATGGAGAATTGTCACTAGTGAGCAAACAAAATAAATAAAAAGAATAAGGGTCGGACCTACAATCAAGTTTGAAGAAGGAAACACAAAAGAAATTAATGGAGTTGATCGGATGATCGACGACTTCAGATCTTATGTAAGTTAACAGTGACAAAGTTAGATATAGAAACGGACACCCACACACACACACTTAGGTTTAGGTTGAGGAAGAAGATCATCAAAGTTGAATCCTTTAAGCTCAGATGCATTGGAGACAATGCCTACGGTAACATTCTAGATCTGGTGCACCATTCAGAGTGATTTCAAAAATCAATTTCATCTCCTCTCAGCCTCCCTCCTCACTCATCTCTGTTCGAAACGAATAAACGATGACTATGGTTTCGTCAATGGTGGTTCACAACAATGAAAGAGAAGGAGTGATTTCAAAAATCAATTTCATCTCCTCTCAGCCTCCCTCCTCACTCATCTCTGTTCGAAACGAATAAACAATGACTATGGTTTCGTCAATGGTGGTTCACAACAATGAAAGAGAAGGCGATGGGTTGGCTAAAATGAGAATGAAGATTATTGGTCGTAGTTTTACGTCAAACGTGTAGCAACGGTGGGCGTTTGGTAGTATGGAATCGTATCGAAAGTATGATTGGGAGGAAGAAGATAAGATCGATGGGAAAAAATTTCAGGGATGAGATAATGAGAGAGGGAGAGTGAGAGAGAGAGAGAGAGAGAGAGAGAGAGAGAGAGAGAGACTTTGCATTTTCATTTTCTATTTTTTTTGTTATAAAAATTATAAATAGAAAATAGAAACAGAAAAAAGTAAGGGCAAAATCATCATTATGAAAATATTCATAGAAAATTAGACAAAACTCGCAACAAAATGAAAAGTTTGGACCTCTAATGCTAATCCAAACCTTTTTGGAACAGTGAGGAAATTTTCAACAAACCACAAGGACCATTTGTGCACTTTTCTCTATAGTTTTTATTAATAAAATCTTGATTTTTGACTTATAAATTAAGGGTAATTGTGAATGACTCAAAATTTATTTCATTGGTTATACTTTCCTAATTTTAAATGTTTTAAATTGATATTGTAAGGTTCATAATTATTTTTATAAAATTTTTTTGGTGAAAGTTTATAACTTTATGTTTTTGGGCTTTTTAGGGTTTTGTGATTTTCTTTCATATTTAACAACATATAGTAGTGAAATTAGAGATCTTTATTTTATTTTTAGGGTTTATACACTTTTTCAATTGTAAAAAATGTTTGGAGTTTGTTCTAATTCAGATATCGGCATTTCCTACAATAGCTAGACAACTTACTAGTATCGTAAGAGTCAAATATATATGGATTATGAAAAGATGCATGAGTCTGAGAATGACCTAAATTTGACAGTTGTCAAAGTAATTAGTAACCAATCACCGATGAAATATTTTTTGCAACAGATTACCAATGAAATGAGTTTGAACTGAAATACCGACTAGATATAACTAACAGATTACCGCCATAATCTAGGAATAGCTCACTAAAAAATTACTAATAGGTTTTATATGAAATAATACAGATGATTTTGGCATTATAAAAAATAACAAACTCATGAAAAAATTAAATACAATTACACATTGAAAAAAAAAATCTTAAAACATAGTACATCAAATCTAAGTTTTAAAACCATCAAATATAAATGAACGAAAATGGTATTCATTATTCATTCTTTCTTCGCTTACTTTAATACATAATCAAAAGACTAAAACAAAAACATCTTGAAAAGTATCTTCACTTTGAGGCCCACCACCTCCTTTTCTAACAAAGATGTTCTTTAAAATGCCACAATTGATATCAATTTTTGGCATTTATTATTCATTCATTGCTTACTTTACAACTCAATCAAAAGACGAAAACAAAACCATCTTGAAAAGTAACTCCACCTTGAAACAAAACCATCTTGAAAAGTAACTCCACCTTGGAGCACCACTTCCTCTTTTTCTAACAAAGATATTCTTTGGAATTCTATTATTGTCATCAGAAACATCTTTCCCAAGGAAAACAATCCACTTCACATCGGAATATGTGATTCCGATTCCAATCCCTCCAAAATGAAAACAGACCTTCAGATCAACAATCTCATATTAAATCGAGTGAAAAAGGATGGAAATTTTAGCAAATTCAGATTCAAATTACCACACCTTCAGATAAATCTTCTTGTATTCCCTCAAACACCCTGTATGATATTCCCTTTCACACTGCAAGGAGGATAAATCTAACAATCAGAAATGAAAACACCGCATAAATGGATTTTTTTTGAATCACCATTTTAACCTTGGACCAATGGATTTTTTTTAATGACCATTTTAACCTTGGACCAAAACTAAAACAAGCACTATACTACAGGGACCAAATTTATTGATATATATATTTAAGGAATAAGCATGAGAAGATCTAGTGATCAGATCTGCTACTTCCGTCAACATCGTCATCATCTCCAAACATCATTCAGTAAGAATGGAACAAGATGTCAGATTTAGACCCTACTTAAGGGTTACTCGAAATAGCATAAATTGGAAAGTTGAGCATTAAAAATTTATTGGCATCAAAACAATTACATAACAAAACGTTTTATAACCTTACCTCTGAAAGGGAAAGGTGGAGTGGCCTCTGGACAAACCCACAAAACCGACTCTTGAAATGCTATGAACACCTAACTGGTACCGATCTGATTCTACTAGACTGACAACAGATAAAATAATGTGAGTGACAGGCGAACAACATAAACTTCGAAACACCAAAAAACCGAGACAAAACATCTTGAAAACACATGATTCATAATGGTATAAATTAACGTATCAGTTAACTTACATGTTTTTTGATTTGAAATCATGCAGATCTTTGCTACTTTTCGGATCTATGTGCATGATAGTGAATTTTTTTTTTGAAATCGACACATAGAAGTCCTGGTGATTATCGTGACCGAAAAAGACGCACATCGATAACTTTATCAAAACAGCATCATGTGTTAATGCTGGATTAAGATTCACAGGGCTGATTATGACAGTAGTTGAATAGTTTGAAGATATAGATTCACAGGGTTGATTATGACAGCGGGCAGCGGCTGTGAAATCGAATGCAAATGAACTGAACATCTCTAATATATAGTAAGAAAAGTGTGGGCGTCAACCCTAACCCTAATCTCCAGCCATGGTGATTTGCATCAACCTCCCTAAAATTGTTCATATCTTCACCTACAACCCAACTCTTACGGAAAATGACACTTTTGTTACTTGATCATGTAGTTTCCTTTAACGGCTCTTATGTGTAAATGGCCATATATATGCATAACTATTTTCTTTAACAGCTCTTATCTCTATTTATCAACAGTATTTTCATTTATTTACTTTGCAAAAACACATTATATATGTTTTTCTTGTTTAAGTGAGAATATTTACCATCATTTGATATTGTGATTATTCTAGGTTGAGTTTACATATTCATTGTTTAGCCTTTCAACATGAAAGCTTATAATTAGCATAAACTTCTTATCACATTTGATTATGAAATTAATGGTTTGACTAACAGTGAAATTAATAATGTGTTAAATGAAATTGTAATAAACAAGTATATTGGTAATTGTATTTATTTTAAACTTAAATTTCCTAAACAAACATATGTTAATAATGTACATGAAGTAAAGTCGTGCATATATTTATCATTTTACATCTCCTCAAGTTAAATCCGTAAGTATAAGAAAGCTTGACGAAAAAAGATTCGAATTTATAAAAATTCTAATAGAAAGTTTATTTCGATGATTATTGGATTACTCGCACCCAATGTTTTGATATTGGCACATTGTGTTTTATTTATTGCAACTTTGTATTTAAAGTGTATTTGGATTCCTTCTTTGTTTCACAAAAGTGTGATTTTTACAACATGTGAGGGACAATTGAATGAGTTTTGATAAGCATGCCAAAAACATAACATATGCACAAACTTCCAACGGAAGATTGATTTTTGCAGATCAAGTTCGTCAATAAACGTCTATTGTCGGTCGATCATTAATTTCCAGATTGATATAGTATTGAATATTTATCCAGATATATTTATAAAATTGGTCTATGTTTCAAAACTAATGTTGTATTTAATGAACTTACCAAAATTAACTATGGTTAATGTGATAATTCTATCAAGTATCTCTTACATGGTATTACTCCATGAGTAACGCCAATAAACGCTAGACTAGGAGTCTGATACTGTATACTCCTCCGATAAAGCTCTATATTCATCAAAAAACAACAAAGGGGAAACATAACAACTAGTCAAAAAATTCAAAGAATGGTAAGGGTGTTGTAAGGGGGTAACTAGTCATCTACTAAGAACTGTTGTGAACGAAATCAACATCCAAGACAATAGCAATATGCATGTTTTCTAGGCATTGGACATGTATATTAAAAAAATTAAGCAACACAACAACCATTCAACTCCTACAATCGCAAGTCAGCAAGCACTATTTCAAAAATGATCAACGAACACACCATAAAAGTGACCATCTGCTTATAGTAAGATTTTCTGTTTTTCACTGAAAGTGTGAAAGAAGGTGATGCCATTGTTTGAGTCTTATAGTCCCTTTAAAATTTGGTGTCTATATAGTATGAAAAAATATGGTCCTATCATAAAAGTTTGGCTATTGGGTAAGAAATTTTGTTACTATAATCAATCATTTTATACAATATTGTGGCGTTAAACCATCAATAGACACAATTATTTTATTAATTATAGTGATTGTGTATCACCAACGGGCAACACACATGTTGTTTCAGTGTGGCATTATGTAAAGAAATCTTCATACAATTCATAGTTTACTAAAACTATTGGGTATCATTTGTAGACATACAATTATGGTGAACATGACCATGTTCACTAAATGAACACATGTAATTAATTTCATAAATGACGATTTGTTCACAATTATTCACAAAACAATATTTTACTGTGACTATTGTCTGGCTTAGAGAGACACACAATTAAGTGCAACATAATGATAAGTATTATAAAGACACACATTTTATTAAAATTTTGGATTTAATATTAGCTTACGACCATATTTGTATTAATTATCATGATCGATGCTATCATTTAGGTATATAAAAATTTGTAACTATGACTATTTTACATCATTTAAACAAAGAAAATCAATTAAAAAAATAAACATAGTTGATTTATAGACACAATAGAATTTGTAATTGTGATCAATATTTAATTTATTACTAAAATTGGTTATTAGTATAACCTATTTTATCATTTAGACACGCAAACATTGTTTAGTGTGACTATTGGTTGTACTATAATCATAGATAGTTATTTAAATTGTAGCCATCAGTATCCAGTCAAAACATGCAAACATTCACTCTACCTTTCGTTCTCTTTCACACTCTTCATCACCACCACTCCATTTCTCCTTTTTACCTCTCACAAACCCACAAAATTTCTGGAAAAGTAAGATCAAATAAAACCTATAATCAGGAAATCTTCATCATCTTAAAGTATCCGTGAAGGTAATCCTAAATTTTCTTTCATTCCCCTTCACTTTCTTTCAAAGTTTTACATGATTTCTTGCAATTTCTCCATCTTCTACTCCATTCTAGTGAAAGATCGTGAACACATAAACATACACACACACACAAACTTGCAGTTTTGATGATGATGGTGGTACGATTTCACCCAAAAACAACATGCATGTTGTAAATAGTGAAATCCAAGGACCAAAGCCTAAGTCAAAATCAACATAACACACTTTTTTACAAGTTACGGGTAAAAATCACCACATGCACCCTAAGTTTTCTATCAAAAATAATTTTGGAACATTTCAAACTCATGAATGGTCTTCAAAACAACATGCATGTGATGATCTTCGAGCTTAGATGATTGATGATCAACGTTTCTTGTTAAAAGCTTTCAAATATGTTCATAAAGGATTTATTCTCAGATAAATACCTAAAACTCCTTTTTGATCAAACCCAACGTTTTCAAGAATCCCACTAATAAAATAAGATGATCTCTAAAGTTTCATAAAATAACTCATTTTTCTCGAATTACTATAATTATTGCAATAAAATAGGGCAATAAATCATATAAAATACTTTCTAGGGTCTATAAATCCTAGGTATATTCTTGGATGATCACTATAGTAGATAATAATTTTCACAGCTCCTACACTATCTGTAAGACTCCGACAAATATTTTCAATGTTTTTCATAATGCATTCCTATTTTTTCCCAGAGTTTTGTATTTATAATGGACTAAAAACAGGAAAAATTTCTATAATATATTAGAACTCTAAATAAAAATTTGGATGGTTTTTCTATTCAATATGCTATTTTTCTTCTATTTTCTATTATTAAATACACTTAAATCCACAAAATCGGATTCTAGAAGATAAAAACTACCTTTGGTAATTTTTCCAGGTTGGGTTAAACAGTTTAGAAATCCATTTTAATATTTTTCCCAGCATAGGAATGTTTAATAGCAATAATAATAAAAAAGTTTTGGCAATTTTGGAAACTGTTTTCTATTTATTTCAATTTTTGTTAGAATAAATGCACAAGAATCATAAAACTAGGTTAAACAGATTCGAAATTCATTTTTATATTTTTCCCAGCTTACGTATGTCTAGTGCTAGTATTATAAAAAGTTTGGGAATTTTTATCTTTTGGATTCTATTTTTCACAAATTTATATTTTTATGAAGGCATAAAAATTTAGAAAAATAGTTAATAAAAAAAATTCAAGGCAAAATTTCTAGAAGACCTCTATTGTGTTTAAAATGAAAATGAAAAGTTTGAGAATTGTTAGAAACTGTTTGATAATATTTTGGATTTTTAGGAGATTAAAACACCTTTAAATGTGTTGAAATACCCTCAATTAATATTACAAAAATCTTGAAATTAATATCCAATATTGTCTTAATGACATGAGTTTTAAAATTTCATCGTTTTAGAAAAATGGTTGTAACTTATCAATATTAAATTTTGACACAATATTGGCATAATTCTAATGTAGTAGTAAGTATACTAGTGTTAGATTTCGATTAGAGACTCACTAGCGAATACCATTATTGTAGGAATCGGAAGTTATACAAGTGTAACATAGTCCAAGGCACCATTTGTCTCATCTCAATGTGTTGTGAGTATTCATGACTCCCCTATTTTCGGTTTTTATGTTTTGGGGTGGAAAAGCATGTCCGAAAAACTATTATTTCTTTGTGTATTTAAATTGATTTTTTTCAAACTTGATTGCTATACTTTGCTATATTTATCTATGTATATCTATGCAACACGAAACATGAGGTTTTATCGTCTTAAGTCCCTTCTCTTACACTTTAATCCAACCATTAACTCTTTGGGCCAATGGTCATTATGGATAAAGCTATTAGGAATTGACAACTCCTCACTCGCCCGATTGTTAGAGTGCATGATAACATATAATCTATGGAATGATAAGCATAGATCTTGATAGGGCATCAATCATAAGCTTGGTTGTGAACTCATTGTTTGCTCATATACATACAAACTTCTACTTATTATAGCAACACACTTGTTTATTAATTATACCAATGAACTTTATTTCCCATGAGAATATGAACATTGCATCTCATTTGGGAAACATATTTTATCTCTCATACATCACGGTTTAAAGAACATGCATGGACATATTTTGTTCATTATGATGTTTTCAAAGGAAAAACTTGGATGCATGTGGTCGATGAACATTTAAAACTAGTAAAAATCTTTATTTTAGGGTTTGACATAGATTTTGGTCATTGGATTTCACCATCAAACAACATGCGTGTTGTTCATGGTGGAATCCTACCACCATCATCATTAAAATCGACTTTCATGGTTATGCACAAGAAAATTTATAAGGAATTGTGTAGGAGAAGAAGAAAGTGTAAGAAAACTTGTAAAACTTGAAACAAAAGTCTAGGAGAATGAAGGATTTTCGTGATTACCTCTAAGAACGACACTTAAGGAAGAAGATTTTATGCTTGAGAAGTGTTCATAGCTGAAGAATTTCAAGAGTTTAGAGAGAGATTTGAGAGAAAAGGTGTGGTAGAGGTGTTGGAGTGTCAGACAAAGCAAAATAGGAAGATGGAATGTAGGAGAAGAGAGAATCAGAAACTGATTGACATTTTCGAGGA